TTATCAGTTGTACTTCCTTTAATTTAGCTGTGAACAGACTGTGCTGCTTTAGGTCACATAAACCATGGAAAGAAAGAAGTGTGTACCTGTGTGACTTTCTATATTAGACTAAGGTATTCTCTCTTCTCATTTATTTCCAATGAAATACAACAACTATGCTTGCATTCAGTTTATTTTGTTACTTTCAAAGACGTGTCCCCAACACACAGGAGGGTTAAAATGAGCAGAGAGGTGAGTAGAGGCTGACAGAGTAAAGAGCAGGTGAAGCAGCAGAGTGATAGGACACAGTGTAAAGTCTTAATGACGATAAGAACAAACAATGAAATTGGCATTGCAACATGCTGTTGGAGTTGGAATTCCTTACACTGCAATACAATGTGTTTAAAGCACTTAGTCAGTCGGACTAACATGAAGTGGTGAACAGCAAAGTCAGCGATTATTCTTCATCCGTGTCATCAGCCGCTCCAGAAATGGTGATGGTGCGCTCCTGTGTGTTGCTCTCGTATGTGTCATCATCTTTCTTAACTGTTCTGGGAAAAAAGGGAAATGGGTAGAAGAAAAAGATTAAGAAAGTTTGACTGCACTGTTTGGCCACTTAAAGGTATGATTGTAGACTATCACAGTTAGTTGTTGTTTGGTTGTTTTTTTTCTGTGTCACAATCCCCCTCTACCTGATGAGAAGTGTCTTCCTCTCAGACGTCTCTGTGGCCTGTTCCCCATCTGTCTGGGTGTCCGATGAGACCACCTCCACTCGCGGTCTGCCAGTGTCTATTGGTTTCTCAGCCCCGCTGCTGCTCTTGTCACTGGGGACCTCTTCCAGCTTTGAAGTCGTTGCTTTTGGAGCCGAGGCTGAGGCCGCTTGCAAACTAACACTGGAAGTAAGGCACAGGCCCCCAGTCAGGGACAGGTTACGAACCATGGTGCTCAAACGGCTGTCTTCCCCTTCGATCAGCTTCCTGCAAAATAGATAATGACGTTAAATAACCCTGATAGAGAAAGATATATAGATTATTCTTTACCATGAAAAAACTTTTATGCTAATGTTTTGTTCACCTGTAGGTGGTGATCTCGATCTCCAGAGCCATCTTTACATTCAGCAGCTCCTGATATTCCCTCAGCAGCATAGCTATCTTCTCCTTCATCACATTCAGATCCAGTTTAATAGATTCTATACGCTCCTGTTACAACAGATAGAACAGAACAAATTTATTTCAAGGTGGTTCAGGCGACGTGACCAGAAAGTACACTTAATGAAAATGTATGAATAGGAATGAAACTTCATCCTACCTGTAAATCCTCCTCCTCCTTTTTGTATCTCGCAGCTGCATCCCGGATCTGAGCCTCCAAATACTCATTCCTTGTCCTCATTGCCTCCAATTCACGCTCCTTGTTGAGGAGCTAAACTCACACAAATACATGCGGCTTTTTTAGGCTAGGAAAGGAAAGCACCAGCTACAAACCACAACAGAAAAGCAGACTCACATCCTTCTTATAGCCTGCGATTTCCTCTCTCACGCTTCGAACACTCTGAACATGTTTGGTGGTGGCGTTGGTCAGGTCCTGAAACTTTGTCTTGTACCAGGTATCCATTTCCTGTGGGGGAACAATAAGAGCAGTTGAGTAAATTAAAATACCTCTTTATATTCTTACATGCTTTTTACTTACACAGTGTTGTAAACACCAATGTGCCAAAGACATCAATGTTTTTCTAAACTTCCCTTTGGCTGAGCGTGTTTTGGGACTTTTGGGTGTAGAAAGTGCACTGATACATGATAAATGCCAAATCCTCCAAAGTCTGAACATATTGCACCATATACCTGCAGGTTTTTGGCGGCGATGCTGTCGTACTGAGACTGAATCTGTCTCAGAGCAGACGAGAGGTCTGGGAGGCCAAAAGTCATGTCCACTCTGGCGGTGGCTGAGTAGATCTGCTGCATGAGCTCCTCAATTTCCTTTCAGTGCATCATAAACAACAACAAAACAACCAGAGTTAAAAGAAAAGCAACATACACAGCAGTAAAACACTAATATATGTATATATACTAGTCACTTACTGATTATACTAACTTTTTGAAGAACACAATGTGCTTGATAATGGAACATCTTTTAAAATATGCAAAGCTAAAGAGCTGACAGTAAACAAAGAATCACTTTAATGTGCACCTTACTGAATCTGGGATTGTGCATGCATGTCCGACATTTAATTGACCCTTCTTTGTAAATCGTTGCCCCTTTATGGCCCCTGATTTAGAAAAATTCTAGATCCTCCACTGGGCTTGTATCACAAAATAATGTAAAATAGAATGGTGGTTTATCTAACTTTTCACAATAATTAAAACTCAGAAATATGAAAGAATGTCTCTCGGGAGGACTCACCCCACATTACAAGTTCATCATAGCTTCCCTCTTTAGCTTCACACCACACTCATAAATACCATGATCATGGTCTTACTCACTCAGTCCATCAAGAAAACCTCGATTTGAATGTAATCTGTCATAGCAATAATTACCAGCCCATTAAACCATTGATGATAAAGCTGAAAACATGCCAGTCACCAGACACTGACATGAGTCAGCCACAGAATGATGTGCATGGACAGACACGTACCTCCTTATGAATTCTCTGCAGGAAGGCCAGCTCAGTCTCCAGGTTCTCCAGGTGCTTCTCCAGGGTGATCCGAGCTGAGGTCGCTTTATCCACATCCTGGGACACATGTTCTGATGGTTTAGTAAAATAAAAAAATATTTCTTCTGTTGAATTACAACTTCACTTTCCACTGTGTCTTACTGGACGTAGTGACTCGATCTCCTGCTCCGTCTTTTTCCTGGCTTCCAAGGCCTCATCATATTTGGCCTTCAGTGCATCCAACTGGCCCAGCATCGCATCCCTGGCTGCCACAGACATATCCTGTAATAGAGCAGGGATATATTGGTCAAACTGTTCTTAAGATGAAGAGAAAGTAGAGATCAGCGTCAGCCTCACTCACCCTCTGGACTCTCATCTGCTCAGCCTCCCTGTTGAGTTCCTTCAGCTGAGACTCGTACAGCTGCCTGAGGCCGGACGGTCGGACGTGGCGACCCTTCAGGGCCTCAATCTCAACCTCCAGCAGCTTGTTTTTGGACTCCAGCGTTCGCACCTACAGGAGGGAACAAATGAACAGGCAAACGTCACCAGAAGTTAAAGGGTCAGTGGCTGTATTACTCTTCATTTTACTGCTTCAGATAATTTTCTGGACTTGAGAGTAGTTAGTGTAAAAGGACAAAATTAAGTCAGATTTCAAAGGAGACAAGAAAAAAGAGAAACTAAAAAGCAAATCCGTGTGAGATGTTTGGCTAAGACTGTCAGAATAAAAATGTGTCTATGTAACTGCTGAGGGGCATCTTGCCTTTTCAATGTAAGCTGCCAGGCGATCATTGAGGGCCACCATCTCCTGCCTCTCATTGGTTCGAGTAGCCATAAAGGCCTGGTTCTCTGCTGCAGCTGCATCCAGGTCCAGTTTTGGTCCGAGCCCCATGGACATACCAAAGCACAGTGCTCCCAAGCTAACACTGCTGCAGACAGGAGCAGAATAAATATCCAATGCATTAATCATTGTTTTGATTCAATCATTTTTTTTCCTATTTGACAAAGGTTGATCGATAAGATGATTAATATGAGTGTTCATGCAGCCCAGTGTAATATAAATCTGAATTACATTATCAAATTTTGACCACCTCTTCTGTAAAATGCTTTATACATATACCAATATGATTTTCTCACTAAAGATATATTGAAAATCCTGGGTTACTATTCCAAGTGATATGACTTAAAGGTTCAGTGTGTAGAATTTATCAACATCTAGTGGTGAAGTTCCATGTTGCAGCTGAACACCCCTCAACTCACCCTCCCCTTCCAAACATGAAAGAGAACCTGTGGAAGATTTCAGTTGTCATAAAAACTCAAAAGGTGTTTAGTTTGTCCAGTTTGGGCTACAGTAAAAAGCATGACGGCCTCCATAGAGAGGACCCCCTCGATGTAAATGTAAGTATTTATATATAAAGGAGCCATTCTAGGGTAAAGAAAACAACAATTAGTACATTTTAGATGAAACAGACTCATGAAAACATCACTAAGATTATTTCATATTTTATATTCATTTTCTGCCAATAGATTCCTTTCACCTAAATCTTACACACTGAACCTTTAAGTGTTAATACTTCTATTATTTATAATAAAATGTAAATTCCATGTAGTTTTAATAGCACAGGGGACCCACCTGGTCATGCGGGTCTTATTGGAGAGGGACCTGCGCCCCACTGCCCCTCCACTCCGGGTGAAGCTGACCGACCGGTGGCGGGTGTCCCTGCGGGTGGGAGAGGGACTGGACACCCGGAGCTGTGAGACAGACGGGGCGGCCAAGGTGCCCTCAAAGTGACGGCGGTATGAGGACATCCTCTCTGGACTGCGGCTCATGTTGACCTCTGGCTGTAGCTGTTGAAACTTCAAGAAGACAAATCTGGTCACTCACACCTTCGGTCTGTGGTGGGGTCTTTATATCCTCCTCAGCCCCACCCTCAGCACCACAGGAGGAATGTTGAACCTCCCCAACCCCAGTGTGAGCGTCCCTACAAACATTTATCACAGTTATGCCAAGAAATGAATTTATTAAAGGTGATGTATGAAGGAATTTTATATAAATGTGAAATCCTTTCCACGTGATGTAATGCAGTATTTTTAAACTGCATATTTGACTGTTCCTTTTACTCATAATATTATAGTAGGTGTTTTTCTCATATAGTGTGAGATATTTAATTTAATAGCACATCCATCACTTTGTCAGTACACCGACCAAACCACTCATCTGTCCCTCCATCCTGGAAAACACATGTGAATGTTTTTACCCAATTCAAATAACTAATAAGTGTGTTTTTTTTATTTAATAAGAACAAGTCAAACATTTATTCAAACCTTTTTGTTTTGGGGGGGGGGATGCGGAAATAAAATCCCGGAACCTTTCCGCTGCGCTTCGGGACACGTTTCGCTGTTGCTCAAGTGTCTGCTGAGCTCTCTTCCGGTGCTGTCCACTTTCTTTGTCGGAAAGAAACAATCATTAAAAAAGTGTTTTTCTTCTCCTCGGCTGCTGCGACATGGCGGGAAACTTCTGGCAAAGTTCTCATTAGTAAGTTTTCACTGAGAACTTCTCAAGTTACGTTTTTATTTCGCGTGTCGTCGTGTTTGTTGTGAGGCCTAGCTGTGTGTGTGTGTGTGCGGCAGCGTTAGCTTCCTCGGAACTCTTCCTGTTGTTAAAAACACACGAACAGAAAGAAACACACTTTTTATTGTAGTGTTTAAAAAGCTTCATCAGACTATCCTCCTGTTTTAGCTTCCATGCTACGCGATAGCTGCATGTTTGGCTAGCACAGTGGCGTTAATAGTGGTGCTGTTGTTCTACCCGCTAGCTTGGCTGCTCACAGTTGAGTTGTGTTTCCATTAAAAGTGATGTGTGTTTATTTTGTGTGTCACAGTTTACAGTGGGTGCTGGATAAACAGGACCTGATGAAGGAGCGACAGAAGGACCTGAAGTTTCTCACAGAGGAGGAGTACTGGAAACTGCAGATCTTCTTTGCCAATGGTACGTGGTTATATTTGTTTAGAATAAAGTCTTGCGGTAACTTACTCGGGATTGAAGATATGCTAAGTGATAATGACATGTGTTAGATCCTCTGCTGTTATTGTTGTGTACATTTACACTCAAAGATAGAATAACTTGAATATATTCTTCCATCCCTCTCTCAGTGATCCAGGCTTTAGGGGAACACCTGAAGCTGAGGCAGCAGGTGATCGCCACTGCAACCGTCTATTTCAAACGCTTCTATGCCAGGTAAGAAAGAGGAAGAGCTTGGATTTGACAAGTTAATATCTTGATTTTACAGTATGTGATACTCATGGTGATATGTGGAATAGGTTGATGTAGGGATGAGCAAAATGCCCAAACATTCTATCAAGATTTGATGTTGGTAATTATGTTATTATTTCTGTTAAGTGTAAAAGCTGATTTTTGATCCTGAGTGAAGGTTGTGGTTTTAAACAATTTTTATTATTGCTTTATAAAAGCAAATATCTTATGAATAAGCATTATATTATATTACATTTGACTTTGCTTACTTTGCTATTGATAAAAATAAGGTGATAATTATTCATATTGTTTTGTTATTCAGCCGTAGTTTGATGTCTGTTCAGTCTTCAGAGCATTTAAAGGGGAACATCATCTAAACAGTGAAGACCATGTTCTACTTGGTCACAGACAAAATACATAATATCACTAAAGGCTTTATACACATAAGCTTTTCAAGCTGCAGGCTCATTAGCTGTAATAACTATACCCATTTTCCCTCTATGAAAAATTCACATTATAGTAAAATGTCTTAGAGAATCAAATGGATCACAACATTATCCTCAGTAATATAACATTATTATTTACCATAGCCACAGTGTTCTTCATGGGATCCAGCCTATAGGTTAAAATACATTCATCTCTTCTTGTTTGCAGGTATTCCCTGAAAAGTATAGACCCAGTGCTTATGGCACCTACTTGTGTTTTCCTTGCTTCCAAAGTTGAGGTATGGAAGTTTCTGTGTTGATAGTAACACCACAATTTTATGCTTTTAAGTTTTTCTGTATTTAGCTAAATAACTTATGCTCCTTTCAGGAATTTGGAGTTGTATCCAATACCAGGTTGATCTCTGCAGCAACATCTGTGTGTAAGTGAGAACATTCAGTAATATATTTTATAACACAACTCTTCAGATCTGTCAAAGTGTGTTTTTCACTGCAATGGACACAGTATAATGTTTTTTTTCTCAAACAGTAAAGACAAGATTTTCCTATGCCTTCCCAAAGGAGTTTCCTTACAGAATGAATCATGTGAGTAAAACATATTTTGTTTTTGGGATTTAGTTTCTGTTATCAGGAGCAACTCACTCTATATGCAATGTGCAACTAGTTACTAAATAATATTCGTTTACAGGAAACATACAGCATGATAAAGTAAAGTAACCACTCTGTCAGCAGTTTTGATAACACAATGAAAAAGAAATGTGCCTAATTAGAGTGCAAATGTGTGTTTGGTTTGAGGGACGGGCATGTCACTCATTCATGATTAGGTGAGGGTTGGGCTTGATTGGAGGTCAAGGTAAAAACAAAGGTGAACAGATGGTTTTGTAGACTGTGCTTCTAATCTTATCAAAGACAAACAGCACAGAAAACAACCTTTTTGGCAGAGGTGACAAAACAAGACATAATTCACCAGTTAAACCACTCAAAGTATCCCTATCCTAATGGATGTCTATGCTAGTTGTTTGCTTGCTTCCTCTGCAGGGTTATTTATGCACTGTTGTGCTACATTACAGCATACCAGCACAGTGTTACCACGCTGGTGTCTATCATTATGTGAGATTCCACTGCTAATGTTCGCAGTCATGTGATGAAGACTCTGTTGCTTCAATCGTGGCCACCCAAGTACAAGTGCGTGCATAAATTTGCTCTGCGCAGCATCTGTCACTTTGGTGTCAAGCACAGGACTTTATTTATGAAGCATCTCCACCGACTTGCCAGGACGTCACTGGGACTGTCCTGACATGATGCCTGTCCATAAAGCTGTGTAAATAATTATTTATAGAGAGCCACCATGCCGTGATAAAAGGAGGGGCCGGCTCACATAGTGGAGAATGAGTTAGCGCGGTGCTGCAACTCCTGAACATAATATTTCATGTCCACTCTGAAGATATTGTAAAAGGAAACACTGATAGCAATAGGTTTTGCAAGGCTTATTCCACTTGTATATTCACAAATACTTTATAAATAATAGTTGAGGGCATTGACAGGAATTGCACACAATCTGTTTATCTGTAGTATGATTCAGTGAGGAAGTTTATAGCTGCTTTCAGACATGCACAGAAGTCCAGACATTTTCATGAAACTTTCCAAAGGGGCTGAACGTGAGAATGCAAATGTCTGAGTCAGTTGCTCTAGACATTCTGCTGAGTTTTTCCTGCCAGCCCCCCCGAGTAAAACATCTGAAAAATGTATGAGTTAGCCCATGTGAGAGTACAGCAGGAAAATCCCAGCTAGCAAGTGGGTGTGTTGTTGACTTTTCCAACATGTAACAGACGTCAAAGAATACCATTATAACATAATATAACATTATGTTTACCTGTGTTCTGTAATATGAAAGAAACTCAAAAAAACAGTCAAATGTTTCTCATAACATTATTTAATAATCATTGTTTAACTAGTCTGAAAATGTATTTTGTATCTTTACAGATATTAGAATGTGAGTTCTACCTTCTGGAGTTAATGGTGAGTAGAAAAAGATTTGTATCGTTGCTGCTGAGTTTTTCTTCACCACCGATCACTGATCTAACTTCCTGTTTCAGGACTGTTGCCTGATCGTCTACCACCCGTACAGACCACTGCTGCAGTATGTGCAGGATATGGGACAGGAGGATATGCTGCTGCCTCTGGCCTGGTAGGACACTGTCTGTGGTCCTTTATCTGTTGCTTTAGTGATAGACGTTTTTATCTGAAAAAAGAGTAAATTCAAAAAGTGCTACATTAACTCACTGTGCTGCCGTTTGTCCTTTACCAGGCGAATAGTGAATGACACGTACAGGACTGATCTGTGTCTGCTCTACCCTCCCTTCATGATCGCCCTGGGTAAGATCTGTCCCTATGCATCTCTCATTGCTGCTGTGTAACATCGTTACTGACTTGAAATGAGTTTTATCTGATGCAATATGGTCAGTTGTTCTTGTTCTCTGCACACAGCCTGTCTGCATGTTGCCTGTGTGGTTCAGCAGAAAGATGCCAGGCAGTGGTTTGCAGAGCTCTCTGTTGACATGGACAAAGTAAGACTCACCTCTGTGGTATTATAAGTTGCCTGTATTCATTTTAATGGATGGGAATTTTAGATTTTTTTCGTAAACAATTACAGTCTTTTAATGATAATTTAACTATCAAGGTAGCCAAATGTGGTGTTCGGGTTTATTTATGTTCAATGTTGCATACACGGGAAGCAGACGGAGCCTTCTGTCTGTACTCTGTAATGTCTGTAATTTCATCCATATTTTTGCACATCTTCTGAAAGCTTGTGGAAACAGATGAAACAGATTCAATGGAGCAGCACCACTGGAAATCGTGGGTGGTCAGTGGAGACAATAGTTCAAGCTAAATGTGTTTTCTGTCAAGATCTTGGAGATCATCCGTGTGATTCTGAAGCTCTACGACCAGTGGAAGAACTTTGACGACAGGAAGGAAATCGCTGCTGTGCTCAACAAGATGCCTAAACCCAAACCTCCTCCTAACAGGTAAATCTGATGTGGTTCTGTATGTCAAATCTAATTATATAGAGTACATTCATATTTTATTTATAGTATGGCTCGGTTAGTTTTCTCTCTAAAGTTGCAGCTTGAGCCAGTTAAAAAAGAATATACAGTAAATAAACCATATGTAAACAACATAAAGCTGCATTTACCTACATTTGTGTTGGATTGGAACTCACTGAAATGTTTTTCTCCACCCATAACCAAAAAAGAAATGTTACTGTAGAAATTTGAATAAATGCAGGCATGCTAATGAGTTTATTGAATAACTGCAGATCATTGTTTCTTAGTTCCACGTCGCTGCAGTTAGATTTCATCACACCATCTTTCTCTCTGTCTTGTCTCCAGTGAGAGCGACCAGAGCTCCAACGGGAACCAAAGCAACTCTTACAGCCAGTCTTAGCGCGGGGTCTGCGTTTCGACGGGCATCAGTAGTCTTGATATCGAGAGGGGTGGTTAAACAAAATGCCACACAGCACAAACTTTGCGATGTCTGTTTGGAAAAATCCCTGACCGAGATGTCTCCTCATCTTAAATGGAAACCCCCCCATCAAACTCAAGAGAGCCATAACCTCACTTTCCCCTTCTCTGATCAATATGGGTTAATGGATCGAACATTGAACAGATAGTGTCAGGAGCTTAATCGTCTCGATGAGGCCGCGCTCCTCTGCTGCAGACTTGAAATGAACTGAAACTGACGAACATTTTGTGGGAGGGGAAAGCCAGGAATATGGGGGGTTTAAACTTTGTCATTGTGATGATCCTGACGTCCTTGAACAGCCCAGGAGAGCGAGTCCTTTCATATGCTGCTCCCTGGGATTAGAGAAAAAAACTTGATCACTTGTACTGTGTGTGTGTGAGTGTGTGTAATACGTCAGCAGCCAGTCTGTGTGGGTTTTCATTCCTCAGGGACTATAGTGCAGTAGTCTTCTCTGTACAGTTATTTGATCCTGTGCAGTTGCATCCCTGTGCAACTGTGATGTGATTGGACGCCCCTGTGCTCCGATGGTCGATCGTGAAAATCCCCAAAGCGGCTTGTTTTAGACTCTACTCTTTTGAATCATGATGCCTCCACCTCCTTCCTCCCTGTTGTAAATAGGTTTGTAATCCATTAATTTTATCTCTGTTGTGTCTTTGCCTTATTAAGGAAACTTTGATGGAAATCATGTGCCGGTTTAGCTTCGTGCTCTCGCTTAATATGAAAGTGCCCCAATTAATTTACCATCATGATTCACTTATTAAAGCTGATTATTTTTATTGTAAATAATTGTCCCGTTATTCTGCTTTAGTTGTAGAACTCGTGCAAAGTGACCTTTTTTTTGTTTGTTTATTTAGCTGAGGCTCTTTTGGGGGGTAAATGCAAATTACAATCGTTTTAGATTTGTCTATAAACTGGGTTGTAAATTCTTATTTTTTAATTTACCTTCTGCCGTTTATTTAATCACTGAATTGTGGCTGTGTGTGTGTGTGAGTGTGTGTGGCTGCACTCCAAAGGTGCTCGAAAGCCTAACAAAATAAAAGCTGCTGGTCACAGAGGAAACCCTTCATAACAGCACATTGTAAATGTATTTTAGGGTTCATGTATTAATTTGACTCGCTGTCATTCTTTCTCTTGTCTACTTTTCCCACATTAACGGGGATATAAACATCTTGTTAAAGGCCACTCCCGTGTAACTACTGAGGACACAGAAGTGAGACAGTGATTCCTTGAAGCGAGTTCGATCCCGCCTCCCTCTGACATTTTCCTCCCCTGTGGCATTCTCCATCTGTTACATGACTTTTTCTTGTGAATGGGCATAAAAAATTAAAAAGGGCTCAACCCGGCTTAAGGAATCCTACTGATTCTAATTTTAAAGAATTACCCCAAAATTAATTTTACTTGAAAGTCCAATGTTGGATCATATTTTGAGGATCATTTATGATAATAAAATGTATGATGTGATGAAACAAAGCGGGTCACTGCTGTTATTCAAGCTGTTATGTCATGTTCGTACAATATGTAATGGACTTTGGGGAATCTTCCAGGATGTTCTGCTCAATGTCACTTGAACACAGTGGCTGTGGTAGGACCCCTAGTGGTCCGTTCAAAGAATATGTAACATGTTTCACAACAGTTTTCACATGAGAAGCCTGAACTTTTAATAACCAAGAACTTGGAGATAAAGAAGAAAGATTACTCAATTAAAATTCAACATTTCCCTCGGTTATGGTTTATAAATTACAAGTTAAATGGTTGAATAATATCAGAGGATGTATTTACCAGTCGCTGCCTCTAGGTGATGGTACCATGGGGTACTGCCATTCCCTCGTGACGTCACTTCAGCTGCATGAAGCAAACAGAGATCAGCGGAAAAAATACTACACGATACACGGTCTCCTTCAAAATAAAACCTGTAACGTTCACTGAATGGAGAAACAAAAGACACTAGCCTGTGTTACATCATTAGACTGGAGCAGGAGTAGAAGAATAAAACTGGGGGACTAGACATAACACATTAAATGTAGTACTAAATGATCAAAATAAATGACGCACCATTGCTGAAAGAGGTTTTAAAATGTCCTCTTTCCTGCGTATTTTGTGGTGTTATATTGTTATTCAAGACTGTACGTGTGAGTGTGACTGAGTGCTTGTGGTGAATACAGGCATCTATTGCTAAATTACATATATATGTCACTAATGATAATGTTTGCTTGTCTGTTCTAGTATTAGTTATAAAAGGGGATCATTGTGAGGCACTGCTGGGAGTTGAACCCAGGATCTCCTGTTTACTAGACAGGCGCTTTGACCAACTAAGCCACAGCACCCTGATGTAAGTCATGTGAGTAGTGATCGTTTGTTTCTTGGTTTATCTATTTGTTAACTAGATGACACACTAACAGCAGATTATCACAAAACTCTGTGGAAGTATGTGTTATGGGTGACCGAAGAACTCATTGAATTTTGGTGCAAATCCAGAGCAGGGGACTGATCCCAGATTGCTTTTTTAAAATATTTTCACTATTTTCCCAGAGAATAACTCCTGGGTCTTGATGAAAAAAATCAGGCAATTTTGGGGAACTAATTATTAGACTGTTGGGCCTTGGTGGAGATAAAAGTTCTAAAAGTGTTTTAGTTCCTCACAAATGAAGATGTTTTTATGACTGCTTTCTATTAGCTTTAATACACATATTTCAAATGAGATTGAACGTTTTACATTGTGAGGTACTGCTGGGATTTGAATCCAGGATCTCCTGTTTACTAGACAGGCGCATTGACCAACTAAGCCACAGCACCTTGGTGAGGAGATAGTGGTATTGTTTTATTTGGTAGTTTAATTTTGGGTCCAATTACACAAGAATATTGAGTCAGATTATCACATAACATATTGGAAGGTTGTGGTAATGGTCAGGGAAGAATCCATTAAATATCGATGCAGATCAGAACTAATTTATGAGAGTTGTTATGACGAGATTGGCTTTATATAAGGTACTGCTGGGATTTGAACCCAGGATCTCCTGTTTACAAGACAGGCGCTTTGACCAACTAAGCCACAGCACCTTGATGAAACTTGTGGGGTTGATAGTGGTACTTTGTGTATTGATTGTAGGTCTGATTATACAAAAATAATGAGGTAGATTACCTCGTAACTTATTGGAAGGTTGTGGTATTGGTCAGGGAAGAACATATTAAATTTTGATGCAGATCTGGATCAGGGAGCAGATCCTTTCTTAAACATTGTGAGATAAGATGTTTTTTGAAATTTTCTCTCTCTTCCCAGAGAAAAATGGATTTTGATCAATAAAATCAGGCACATTTTGGAAATTTATGAGTGTTTGAGATTTGGTGCAGGTCGATTAAAGTTAAGGGACTGTTTGAGGTACACAATCATTGTACCATAGTAGTCCCTTATACAGTATTTCAACAATGTGAATGAGTGCTTTAATAGGTACATGTTATAATTGCAGCGGTTGTTACTAAGAGATTGGTTTTTTCTGAGGTACTGCTGGGATTTGAACCCAGGATCTCCTGTTTACTAGACAGGCGCTTTGACCAACTAAGCCACAGCACCTTGATGTGGGRTTAGTAGTATTGTTTTATTTCCTACTTTGATTGTGGGTCAAATTACACAAGAATAACAAAGTAGATTATCACATAACATATTGGAAGGTTGTGGTATTGGTCAGGGAAGAATCCATTAAATTTCGTTGCAGATCTGGATCAGGACTAATTTATGAGAGTTGTTACTAAGAGATTGGCTCTATRTGAGGTACTGCTGGGATTTGAACCCAGGATCTCCTGTTTACTAGACAGGCGCTTTGACCAACTAAGCCACAGCACCTTAATAAAGCAGTGGGGCT